CTCTGTTGACTCCATCAAAGGCTTTTTCCTGATCCACAAATACCAGATAGAGATCTTGGTTGTGTTCCATCGCCATCTCACACAATTGTCGGAGTGCAAAGATTGCATTGGTGCACCCCGTCCCCTTCCTGAAGCCAAAGTGGGCAGCACTGAGGAAATGTTCTGTTTTTAAATAAGTGCACTGCTCAAGGATCTTTGCATACAATTTCCCTACATGGCTGAGTAGTGATATGCCTCTGTAGGTATTGCAGTCTTTCTTGCTGCCCTTCTTCTTCCATATTGGCACCACTGAATATATTATCAAATCTTTCTTGTTTTGCTATGAAAAAAAATCTTACTTTTTTTTTTTTATTGTTTATGGGTGTAATCTGTCACTTCACATATGCTTTCCACCTGAATATGTTATCAAATCTATTCCTTGTCTTGCTCTATCCTGAGTATGACAATAAACTGCATCCATACCCAGAGTAAGACAATAAACTACGTCCAACAGCGAGGCCTCTGATCAGCAGGCTTTGAGGAGCGTGGAACCACCTCTTAATTGCTGATGTTCCCAGGTCCACCCTGACCTGGGGTGGTAGCACCTGTTCGCATCCCAGCTATGGGCAAATAGTTAACCCTGAAACTGGGGTAAAAAGCATTATGAAAGTGTAAAAATAGGTTTTAATACCAGAAATACTTTGTAAAAAAATTATTACCAGAAATAAATTTTTGAAGAGAAAAACTATTACCAGTAATACGTTTTTGAAAATAATATTACTATCTATACAATTTTGAGGAAAAAATATATCAGAAATAGATTTTTGACAAAACAAAAATATTACCAGGAAAAAAAAAGTTGTTGGCATTAAATGACCCATTGAGGTTGATATGCTGTAAAACAAACCAAACCTTGTCTTGCTATGAAAAAGATTTTTATTTTCTGTTGTATATGGGAATTATCTGTCACCTTGTCATAAAATACGAATATTCCCACTTTTCTTGAAAAATTCAGTTCTCCTAGGCAATTTACTTCTATTTTTAACATTATTATCATTCTTTTGTAGTTGTGGTCCTTCCTTGAAATTTCAAGATATTTAACAATCTTCTCTCAAATCTTTTTCTAACAGGATTTTCTATTGTTTTTTATCTCATGTATTCCCTCTACCTGAATATATTATCAAATCTCTTCCTTCTCTCACTATGAAAAATATCTTAATTTTCTGTTGTGTATGAGAGGAATCTGTTACTTTGTGTACACCTTCCAACTGAATATGTTATCAAATCTATTTGTTCTCTTTCTATGAAAAAAAAAAAAAAATTCCTTTTTTTGTTTTTAAGGGTGTTATTTGTGATCTTGTATGGTCCCTCCACGGAAATCTGATTTTCTGTTGTGTCATCTGTTTATCCCAACTACCAAAATCAAATACGAGTAACCAAATTTATCTCTTCCAATTTTTCTGTGAAAAAAAAAATTTAATTTTCTCACGTCTGAGTTAGTTGTGTTACATCTCAATCATCACCCCACCTCCAATAAGTTCTCCCCTCCCCCAATTCAAGTCGTGACCATTTCACTGAGATTTTTATGAAGACTGTCTTTTTTTAATGTTTATAAAAATTCAATGTTTATTTCCACCTTCTCTAATATGAAGTACCAAATTTATTTCTTATGCAATTAAAAAAAAAATAGACACCCAGGCATTGTTGAAAAGTACATTTGTACCCTCTGTTAGGTATACGTGGTGGTGGTGGTGGTGGTAGGGAGGTTGAGTTTTCTTTGCTTACCTGGAAAGGAACTAGAACAGATCCTGTTGATCTTACTATTGATTGGCTGTCTGTTTGCATTTGCTGGGTAGGTCAAGCTCAATACTACTACTGCAAAAGTATGGAATCCAGCAGGGAACAAATTTATCAAACTTGTAAAAATTTGAGGAAAATATTATTTCCCTGTGGAAGATAGTTTGAGGACTGCACACAACCCGCAGGCCACATGTTTGAGACCATTGTTATAGATTATGGAGTGCAAAAGTTTTTGAAAGTTTTATTTTCTGACATCATTAATTGAAAATTTAAATTACCATATTTATTGGCCTATTGGATGAACCCAAATTTTGGCATGGAATATTTACGGAAAAAATGCACACATCACAACCAAAAAATATCAAAATTATAACCTTATATTTATGTGACTTTATCACTAATCATGAAGAAACACTTACAGTATTGGCACAAATTATACTATTGGTACTTTTTTGGTAGAAATGAGGTAATGTTTAATTACTAGGACATTTTTGGAAAAGAAGAATTTTAGTACATTTCATGATGCATGTACTGAAAATTGTTTTAGTTGTTTTTCAGGGATCAACATCTGCACAGTAAATTCATAATAGCTACAAAGACATCTTCTGGTATCAGTTAACACTGGTACATATGGTAATAGGCAAAAAAAAACCCAGAAAGATGATATGCTTTGCTCAGAAGTTCTCTTCCGACTCCACACTCAACTCATCTGGAGTACCCA